GATTTAAAATAAATCCCAGTTTTAAAAAGTCCTCAGGCTTAAAAAAAAATTTTTTTAAAGCCCCAGAAAAGTTACTGGCACAAAGATAGAGAGGCTTGCCTGCCCTGTATTGTGCTGATAAGATAAAAAGTTTAAACTGTCCATATTTGATCCTACAGCTGAAAAAATAAACTAAGAGATTTGTTCCTTTTTTAATTTCTCTGGGCCATGTGTTGCATGGTGTTACTCGTTTCCAAATTGGAGGTAGGCATCAGCATCACTTCCAGTGTGGCTCTGACCTTCTTGTGTTTTCAGTCCTGTGTCGCTAACTGAAGTCCCCAAAGCAGCTTGCTGCTGCTGTCGTAGCTGGGCTGGCACTGTGGTCCAGGGCTGAGGCTCTGCCACGCTCAGCTCCGAGCATAGCCCCAGCCGGGCAGCGATGCCCTATATCCCGGTCTGACTGAAGCAAGTGGAAATTTGCTCTTCACCTCAGTGAGGCCTGAGCTGAACATGGTACATGTAATCTGTTTTCCAATATTTGGCTTTAGGAGCACGTTGTTCCTGTAACAGAGCTGTTTTGAACACAGCCCAGAAGGCATTTCTACTGACTGCAACTTTTAAGCTGGGCCTTTGGGAATTTGCTTTTCCAGCTTTGCCAAGTTTGCCACATTCCTTGGACCACCAGGTCAGGCAGGAACACTCCCAGTTCTTGCTATGTCCCTTTTGAAATAGTAACTTTCTAGAGCATAAGCTGGCTTTTACAGAAAAAACAAGAGTCATTAACAACATTAAATTTAGTGGCAATTAGAATAACATAATCCTGACTGTTGGCCAGATTGTTTAGGTCATAGGGTAAAATATTCTTCTTGTGTAAAGCACTGCAGGCCTTCCACCATGCTAGAAGGGAAAAAAAAAAGGGGGAAAAAAAAGGACAAGAGAAACAAAAAGCCCTCCCCCCGCCCTGTTTTCTGACATTTCAGATAGATGAAGGTGTACTTTCAAGGCTGGTCTCTCAAATTGTATCCTTTCTTACTCATAAAAGAAAATTGTTAATGCCATCATTAGAGATGGCAGTTCATTTAAAAATTACTAATGACACTTTTGTGAATTGCAGGGGCATTTTTTCCCCCTCTTTAGAGTTAATTACTGATCATTTATCCTAAAATGCGGTGCCAGCATCTCCCTTCTGCTGGTGTTTGCCAGTACCCTTGGGCTGTGCACAAACATGCCGGTGGCGGGTGGGAGCCGTGTGCCTGTGGTGCTGGGCTGTCTTCGCAGAGGTGCTCCCTGCACAAATTCCTCACAAGTCGGTAACTGTGATTATTTTTTAATTTTTTTTTAACAATCTGTATAGAAACTACTTATTATTGAATTAAGTTCACTAAAATTCAAGGCCATCTTAAAAATCAGCTGTGTCAGTAAATACACATATCTGTGCTTGATTCTACAAGGTAGGCACTGATCTTTGGAGACTTCAGAAGGTGCCATTGCCTCTGGCCACCAAGAAGCCCCTTTGCGGGGTAGTGCACGGACCTGTCCCCTCAGAGCCAGACCGAGCCCCAACATCACCCCTGCTCCCGGTGCCAGCAGCGCCTTGGTCTCCTATGGTGACCCAAAACCTTTTGGCAGTGTGCTGGTGCCCGTGTGCACCCATCCTGCTGGGGTGCTCCTGCAGTTCTGACCAGCAGGAAACTTGCAGGTTAAATTTGTGAAGGACTGCAGCAAAACTCCTCAGAAATGAGTTCCTGAGGAATGCTCGCGGCCTGCTGTCCTCATCAGGGAAACTGAGCTCACCGCGGGAGCAGCTGGGCTGTGTTTGAAGCTTTTCCTTGCTGGATGGACCACCCATTCCCATCACAGCCCTGGTGCTCGCTGGCTGTTTTGCTCCCCTGGGCAAGGAGCTAGCGTCTCCCCAGAGCTGCTGGCACCCTGCACACCCCGCTGGCAGCTTGTGGTCAAGGTAAGGGAGACAAAGGTTGAAGAACCAAAGGTTGAAAACACCCCAGATTTTTCTCGGCAGTATTTGGTTTCTACAAGGCAAGCGCCAAGCATGCAGCTCAGGAGAGGAATCTGAAGACCGTGTTATTCAAAGGACAGTAACACTGAGGCGTGGCAGACATGTACAATTTCTTCAACTCATTGAAAACAGAAAAAGTCTCATTTTAAAGCAATGTTGCATTTGCTAAATAATTTATGCAAGATTCACTGTTGTGTTATGTGACATACAACTCTGTCAAGCAACGACGCTTTTGAAAACTTGCCTAGAGGATCAGATTTCCCATTCAACAGGGAATTAAAAAATGTTTCTGGAATTTTACTTTGCAGTCGGGAATCTATTTTCTTATCTCACATTGTACAATTTATTTTTCCTAAAGCAGTGTGCTAAATTATTTGTTATTTTTGGACTCGGTCGAACAGCTTTATCCCTGGTGTAGTCATGTAGTGTTGGAGTAAAACCAAGGATGAATTTGTCACAGTGTACTCACCAGATCAGCTGGTCTTTAGGTTAACTGTCAAAAGACAAAATTTCTGATAAAAATATTAGTGAAAGTCCCTTAAAGGTCCCCAAAGTTGCCTAAAAACTTTCTTCTTCAAGTTGTGGCAAAGTCAGTTCAGAAGTGCTTCCCTGAGGTCCTCGTCAACAGGCGTCATGGAAGCAGGTGGCAGTTCCTTAGGTTAGATTTATATACTTGGACTATTTTTATAGGTTTCTGTCTTATAAAACCTGAGAGCTGACATTCTGATTTATTAACTATCAAGTCCGCAGGACATACAGGCTTTAAAAAGATTGAATGAGCTAAAAATGTTTGTGATTGCGGTCTGGGATGAGAGACTGTATAAAGGTGTGCCAAGTAAATATGACAAAATGTAAGTGATAATTTGAATATGTACATTAAATGATGTGTGAAGTAAAGCAAAGCTAGCATAGCTTTAAATGTGACTTATGATTTAGTGAAGTAGTAGTATAAAGAGAACCAGAATCATGTGGGCTTTTTTCATGACAATACATTTTTATTTAAGGAAGAGTCTATAAAGCATGAGGTTCAGCGAGCAGCATTTTATTGAATAAACATAGTACAGATGATGACTTACAATATGGAGAGCTTAGTGAGTGATACTTTTTATAACCAAATCCTTAAATTCATTACTGCTGTGTAAGTGGCATATCTGATTTGTTAAGATGAACATTATATCTAGCGCTTAATGGAAATTTTGTAGTAGAAAGGTATGTATAATTTAACAGTAAAAGAACCTGAAAATGTGCAGATCAGTTAATTGCCAAGAGGGATACTGTGATGCACCACAAGCAGGCATTGATTTTTAATATTTCCATTGCAATTGGAAGGGTACGTAATGTTATGAGTGCTCCACGGAAAACTGCAGAGCGTTTTACACCGGTTGATTTATGGTTATCATGCGCAGTGCAGAAGATGGTATAAAATGTGCTCTGGCTGGATAGTGGTAGCAGAGCCCTGCTAACGTGTGTGTCTGAATTGCAGTGCTTGTGGTAACCAGTTTTCATCTTTAATAGATTTTATTTTTCAGCTTTGTTTCATGTTCTCAGCATTGGTTCTCCTTAATCTTTTTGGCGTTGATCTAATTTTAGAAACAATTCATCTCTTTATTCGCTGGCATTTCCTTAATGGCTTAAAACCCAAGCACATCCTGAACCAACAAGGTGGCATCTCCCTCCTGCCTGGCTGAGAGCAGCCCCTGGGCTTTCAGGGTTAGCTGGCGCGGGGTGCGGGGGGATCTCTTCTGCTGGAAGAGCCTGCAGTTCCATCGTGCTTTGCTGAACGAATTCTCCAATGTTCCCATCTTACCAGGAGGGTGCATTCAGAGTGTGTGAGTGCTTGCAGAGGCGGGTGAAATGGTGGAGGTGTAACCCCTGCTGTATTGCCCATGTTGGTGGGACATGTGTGCAGAAGAGGCGCGGACATCTCTGTTTCAGCTGGTCACCAAAGTCTGGTCGGCGTGGCCAGCATGTCTAACGGATGCTTTCCCTGCTGAGAGGGCAGCAGGGACTTAGAAGGGCTTTTCCACTTCTGATGTCTCTCCGGAGAACCCAAGTGAGGGTCGGCCACCGTGCTGCATGGAGCCATTGGGCATGACTGACTTCAGGCATGCCTAGATGTCCACCATGGCCAAGGAGGTCTCCTGGAGTCGCGAGGATGTGGCTGCAAGCCGACCCCCCATGACAGGCCACTGTGGGCATGCTGAGGGGGACTGACTGTGGCCGACCGCCCCTGCCTCCCACCCCACTGCCAGCGGGGAGCGAGCTGCCACCTGCGCGGCCCTCCACCCCGCTGTGTTTCTGGAGCTGCCAGAGAGCTCAGTCTCCCTGTATACTAATACACGTGAAAACTTGTGGGTTTTGGGGCAAATATGTTTGCGTTAGCCCACGCTTCGGTCAGAGATGAAGATCAAAAATATGACCGACCCGAAGGTCAGATGCAAGGCTGTTGGCTGCCGGCTAGGTCAGCATGACGCAAGGGTCACCTGCCCAGCAAAGTGCCTCTCGTTAGTTCAGCGAGACCTCTCACGTCCTGGGGTGGGTATACATGTGCTTTGGGGGTCTTCAGCTAGAGCATTTTTTTTCCTTGTTGTTACTAATATTGGGGCTTGGAGGCGGCGGGGAGAGGAGAGCATTGAGAATTAAAATTCAGCACATGCCTTTTCTTTGCGGGCTGTAATTAATCTTGCCAATTTTTAAAGCTTTGAGAATCTGGTTAAGTGATAAAACACTAACAACTTTATATGACAGAGAGTTAGAGGCTCCTGCTATACACCCACCAGAGAAGATTAGGAGAGAGTGTTTGCAAGATTCGCACTAAGCAGCAGAGAATACAGTTGAGAATTGTTGCACCGCATGATATAAAAACCACATTAATATAATGAAAGGTGTCGGGAATAATGTGAGAGCGGCTGTAATTAAATGTATCTTAATAAGTGCAACATACTTCTTAAGGCTCTTATTTTTCAGACCTCTCAAACTTAGAGGATGTTCTTGCTGTTGGCAGGTGGCCTGGGAGGAGAGCTGGAGAGCGAAGCGAAGGACAGCCGGGCCCTGGAAGAGAGGAACAGTGTGACGAGCCAGGAAGAGAGAAATGAGGAAGATGAAGACATGGAGGATGAGTCAATTTACACCTGCGATAACTGTCAGCAGGACTTCGATTCACTGGCAGACCTGACTGAACACAGGGCACACAACTGTCCTGGAGGTAATGTTAAACTAGCTTTACAGTTCTGACAGGTGGTTAGCTGGGTAATTGGACATAGCAACAGCTTGAGGCCTCAAGTGAGATTAAAGAATTAATAATGTAATTTTACAGTTAATGTAATTTTATTGTGGTGCCTTGGGTAGCCTTTGTTCACTCCTTTAATAAAATTAAAATAAAAGCAACAGCTTTCCAATTGGAATCTGTCAGTAATTATGTTAGACAAAAATGTTGTGGTTTTTTTTTTAATGCTAAAAGTTTCAGACAGGCTATTTTTCCCTCTCTCTCCAAATGCAGGAAGATTAAAAAAGATAAATGACTGAAGTGTGCAAAACTCCCAGGAAGAAAGGCCTCTGAACCCCATAAAAGAACATGACTATTTCTGAGATTAAAATTCATAGTGTGAGTTTTGTAATCCCACCCTAAAAATACACCGTTCTCCCTGGGTTATTATTGCATTGCCTTTTGAATTTTATGGAAGTGAGGACGGCATCAGCCTACGCTGATCTTGATTTTACTTCCTGTAAAGTAAGAACAAGCTCAGAGCATTGGTGTGAACAATTGCAACGTATCTTGCTTTTACACGGCTGCCTTTGCATGGCCGGCGGTAGCAGCAGGTATTCTGCAGAGCACGCTAAGCCGATTTACAGGGGTAGTAAAAAGCTTTGCAGACTTTACCAAAGATTAAATAAAATCTTAGGAGAGGAAGCGCAGAATATGTTCATATGTATTTAAATCAGAGATTCTCATCCTTCACCTTCCTGGAATTGAATACTCTGCCATCACTTTTTAGTTCCTCTCTTGTTTAAAATGCCTTTAGACAGTTGCTGTTAGGGCAGACGGATAGGTTGAGGCTGGCAGAGGGCAGGAGGGTTAGTTTCTCCTCTGGTGAAGCAGTGTCCCATCCTCTTTCCCCTGAGTGCATATTCCTCCCTGGCCACTTAATTTGTTTGGTAATTAGTCCATGTTTTCTCCTCTTGTTTTTGGGCATAAGTAAAATGATGCTTAGCCAAGAAAAAATGCAGGGAACAGAGTACAGCAAGGGAGGGAGGGTCAGGTGGGGGCTTTGGCTCGGTCTGACTCCCACCCCAAGAGCATCCTCCCCTGTCTTGCTCTGGTCTGCAGAGGAGAGGACCCCCCGCTCTTGTTCCCGTCTGCTGCTGGGAGGAAGGACCCAAGGGAGGTTGGGGCTTTTCCCCAGCCTGCAGGTGGATAGGGATTGCAGTCCTACGCCTGCCCCCAGGGCTCCTTGCCCTGTGCTCTCCTTTAAACCCTACATAGATTGCAAACTTGAAAATGCGTAAAATTGAAAGGCTACTTCTTGCAGGGTAATCTCTCGGCCAACTGACAACCATGACATTGGCCTGAGACTTCTGCAAATGGCATTTGTACTCTGCTGCAGGGTAGTAAAAGCAAGAAAACTCCATTGAATAGAAAAATCTGTGTTTTCCAAACGGGAAGGCGAGGTGCGCAGCCGGTGTGGACATTGGTCCTTTCCAAAGGAGCAGTGGCAGGGACGAGTTGTTCTCCACACCATCCCGCATGGGGAGCAGGACAGGCAGGATCCCAGGAGGGCCGGCGGGCGGCCGTGCAGCCGCAGGGGACGTCTCCAGCAGGCGTTTGCCCAGCCACTGTCTCCTACGTTGTGCTGGTACAGCTGCTCGGGGTGCCGGGGCTGAGCCCCACCAACAGAAAGGCTGTTTTTAGCCCAGGTGTCTGCTTGGGTCTGGTTCACTGTGCAGTCCCCCGAACAGGTCTAATGGCACAACTGGGCCAGTGGAGCGGGGCGGAGGGGAGTGGGCGCTGCTGGTGGGGACTCCAGAGGAGGAACGTAAGGTTATGACTAGTGACTAACAGTGCTATGAAAAGGAGCAATTTTTTTCCTGAGGCAAATGTACATTAAAACATAGCAAGCTAGAGATTCTGTTCGTATCGATACAGTCAGTGCTTTCACACCTCGGTTTTCACTTATCCTCAACCTAATATTCTTCAGTGAGACTAAGAAAAAGAAATAATTTTTTTTTGGACTTTTCAAAATAATTTGTTAGTATTCCAATTGCTAATTTTTGATTGCAGGTAGCATAGTTTCATCATCTTTTACTGTCTTCACATGTGCTGATGATTTACAAAGACATTTTGTCATAAAAAGGCACCATATAACTATCTGCATATACATGAAATAGGTGCTAATTATCTCCATGTGAGGATATCCTTGTTCCAGAACACTAGTGTCTGTTTTCTATTCAGTTTAATCTGGTGTCCTGAAGTGATTTAAAGTAAATGGGAAGATTGCACTCATATATTCTGGAATGAGAATGTTTCCGTGAAGACAATCGGGAATATTGCTTGATATTTACATATCGTACCTTGAGGAAAAAAAGCCAACCCTTTCAGATCCACCAGTTTGTTTGATAGCCATGCGAATTTTTGTTGAAAGCATGCAAAATGCACATCTTTGTTCAGTTCATCTGAAAAGACTTGCACCGCTCAGGTGAAAATCTAAGACCGCATTAGGAAGTGTGGTGTATTTAAAGATTTTACCCACAAAATAAGCTGTGTGGCTGTGTCCTTAGTTACCCTATGCTCCTTTTGCCTATAATGCCTACCTGACACATCTGAGGTTGTAATGCAGTGCCTGACCTCTTGGCAAGCTAGGTTTTCACGTCTTAATCTGAAGCAGGGTTTTCAGTCCTGTCTACATGGCTCAAGATCAATACAGGTAATATTTGTAGTGATAATATCACCAGGCTGATAATACAACATAACTAATGACTTCCTTCGGGATACTGAAGTTAGGAAGGTATCATAGCTCAGGAGTGTTGCAGGATTACAAGAGATCACTCCAAAGAATAGGATAAACCATCTATTTCACTGGAATCCCTTAGAAATTCATTATGGCGTGCTGAAGTTATAATACAGTTTGAACACGGCTGCTTTGACATGTAAGGAGGTAACAAACAGCCATTTCCCCCCTTGCTTTTTCATGTATTTCAGACTTGTTTCTTTGAGGACAAAACACCGCTGAAATCTAGACATCTCTCGTAGCATAAGTGCATGGCATTCCTTTTGATGTCAGTGTAGTAGAGATGTTCTCCTTCTGACAGAATTAGGTGCCTTTTATACCTTTTGCTCATGACTGATGTCTGTGATTGCAGGTTGTAGGTTTCCAGTGTCTACGGGGATCTGAAAAGGGTCTAAGTGGGGGCAGCTTGTACTGAAAGAACATCACATTTCCTTACCGGCTCATGTCTTCCCTTGTCTCCCAGCTTGCCCCCACAAATGAGCTCTCCTGCAGCAGTTCTGGAAATAGCGCCTTAAACAACTAGCAAGCATCTTGAAAAATACTCTGAGAATAAATAAAAACACCTAGTGTATACACTGGGTGTGTTAAGCTTTTAAAATTAATTTAAAATTCACTGGTATCCCATGTCCCCTTAACTCGAGAAGACTAAGTAATTGCTATCAGCATCATGTGCAGTCTTTTTTTATACATTTTTTTTTTTCTGCACACTGCTGTTACGGTGTAGGTGTTGTAGGATGATGCTATCTTCTAGCATTAGTGACAAGAGTAAAGAATTGCACATGGATTTACAAATTACTGTGTCCTCCAGCCAGCACCAGAGGCTGCATGCATCAAACAACTACTCTGCCATATATCATCATCTGGCGGCTGATGCTGAGTTGTTTGTTGTCTGATGAAAAGTGGCTAAAAAGTCACGAGATTTGCCTTTTTGCTTGTGTGTGTTAATCCACTTGTGTTAGTCTGGGTTTAGCTCCAGTATTTTACTGTGTTATTCTGGCTTCTTCCACCCACGTCACCCCTTTCCTTCCGTGGGTCAGAACAGCCTCATGTAAGCTTTTTTTCTTCAGTTTTTCAAGTGAATGTAGAGTGTTTTAAAGCAAATTAGCGCATCAATGAAGTGGACAGAAGTAGGTTTTGGTGGGGTCTCTGAGCATTTCATGAGGTCCTCTTCTGTTGTTGATAACTTTACAGGTTGTCTGTTTCAAACAGCAGCAGAGCTATATATGGATATTGCCAGCTTGGAAGCGGCTGATTTTTCTAAACTACTGTACGGTAGGAACTAGTTTATAATTAAAGTCTTGCAGTTGCTCCTTTTAAATGCCCTGTAACTTGTACACTAGGCTTATGTTTGAAATGAGGTATTGTAACTGTTTCATGCTAGTGTATAATTTTGCATTTTCTTGTATTTCACCTGCTACAAGAATTATAATTGCCCTGCAACTGTATATGCGGGATACTTATCCAGAAAACCATATACGGCAGCTTGTCAACAAGTGACGATGTCTCATGAATGTTTTTGTCAGGTGGCACTTTGTACTTCCCACTGACAAAGAGAGACTTCTTACATGTATTTCCAAAATTAGCCCTCTCCCAAATTGTAATCTTTGGTTGCACCTGATTGGCAAGTCAGAGATTTTTTGTCTTTTTGCTGCTGCTGTGGTTGCATCTTTAAATTAATGAATTACTGGTTGTCCTCCACAAAAGAAACTGAAATACAGTTGTGAAAAAGCAGTGTGGAAACTTAATTATACACCTAGTTTATACAGCTGTGTGTCTAATGACCTACTGGCCCTAATTACTGTGTTGTGGCTCAGGCTGAGTGCTCTTGTCCTTGCCAGAATTCTGCTCCTTTCTCTTAACCTGACTAGTGTTTCAAGCTAAAAAAAATAACAAGTTTCCTTTTTTTGTTCTTTTCTACATTGTCGTGCTGAAATGCAGTTTTCCTTCTTTCCAGAGGTCGTAGCAGTGTTTTAAAATTGGCACCAGAAAAGCTCAGTAATAACACAAACGGTAAAAACATGGATTTTCCCTGGAGTCCTCAGTTCTCGCTGTCTAGATCTGAAAATGGGCACTGGGGCAGTGTTTTTATTGTCAATCACTTGGAGGGCTCCGGGCGCAGGCTCCTGTCCTCAGTTTGTCCCAGGCGTCCCCTCTGCAGGCACAGGGGCAGCAGGGCTCCTGAGGCCTCAGGCAGCCGCCTCGGTTGGCCACGGTGCCCCGGCGCTTCACGTGTCTCCCTGGAGTCAGTATTTGTGCCCGCCAGTGCCGAGAGCCCCGAACGCCCAGATTATTGTAGAGGTACGCTTGGCTGGATAGTCTGGGGTCCGGCTCCCCCGACTGCTGTCACCACGCAGGTGATGTTTGAGTTTACCGGGAGATTCCCAGCCAGCTTGCGAGGAGGCTCTTTCCAGGACTTCTGCCTACACATACCAGAAAATTAGTGTGCTGATAAGGTGCTGCGCTGCCTGGCTTTCTACACAGGTGGTCAGTGAAATATGTATTTATCATGTAGAACATAAAGCATATTCCCATATCTGAATTTGGATCTGAAGTCAAACAGAAGCACAGTTGCAAATTTAATGACAAACAAGGCATATGGTAACCTTGCCGATGCAGTGGTTTCGCAGTGCATCCTATGCAACGTGTTTCGTGAGCCGCCAGCACCGGGCCTGCACCCACACAGGGTATTTGGCACGAGTCGGGGCTGCCTGCGAAGGTGCCTTTAGTGTAGTGTTTAATGTATTGCATACATTTGAGAAAATTGTGCAAAGTGTTATGCTCCCTAACAGCGTTGCTTATCCGGCAGATCGGCGGGTCATCCGGCAGGTGAAGGTAGGTGAGACCCCTGGGCTGCTCCGCTCCAGCCGGGGCACGCAGCCCCGTGCGCCCAGCCCCTCGGCGCGGGGAGGCGTTAGCGGGGGCTGAGCCTCAGCAATTGTTTCTTGGGTTGTCTCTTGGATTTTGCAGGCGTGCCGGCGCCTGTAAGGACTTGCAGTGGGGGAGACACATGAATTTAAAACAATGCTTGCTCACCATAAACACCCAGCTCGGGATTCACTTTGCGGCTTCGTGGAGGGTATCTCACAGCAGGGGCAAGGCGGTGAGCCCGTGGCAGATCCCCAGCCGCGCGGGAGCCGGGGTGAGGAGCTGGCCGAGCGAGGAGCTGGGCAGTGTGCTCGCCGATAAGAGCCTGCCAGTGTGCCAGGCGCCACCCCCTCCAAATCGCCACCGCCACCTTTGTGCCGGGACCCTCTGGGGACGGTGGCAAGGGAGGCAGCACCAGGCACTGTGTGTGCAGATAGGAGCGCTGCCAGCACGGCTGCGGGCGGTTTGGTTGCATGGAACCAAAACCCCTGGTAGGAGGGGAGGTAATGAGCTATCTCTACCCCTTTCTCAGCCTCTGCGTAGCCAGCAGTTATTGCGGATGGCCTGGCTATGTATTCTGAGGCTGCACAAACATTTCTTAGCAGTGATGATGTCTTTCCTCAAGCAGCGTATGTTTTTCACCCAGGAAGAACGTTTTCCCTGTCGTTTTTAAACATATGGACCAGTGAGTAGCTGAGGATGACAAGTTAGTGTGCTTGTGTTGGCAAAGGACTGTTTCATTCTTCCTACTTTAATTGAGTTCTTTTATCTACTTTTATCTAGTTCAGAAAGTAGTCTGCAAAGTAAGTACAGGTATACATGAAAATGGATAGAAGAGAAAGTGGGTGCATGTTTTAACCGAGGCTTCTTAAAGAAAGCATGTGTCCTTTTGAAGTCTTGAACACTTTGACACTTGGCTGACTGAAAAGCCACTCTCGCCTCCTGATATGTTGCTGCATCAGAAATGGGGAGATGAACAAAGACTGAAGCACCCCAGATGCTGCGAAGCCAGAGCTAGCTGCCAGGTGCTGGCCATGCGAGCTCCCGCGTCCAGCAGGACCTGCGTTTGGGAACTGGTGCCCGTCCAGCTCCCCCCTGCACCACCCCAGGCCCCACGCAGTCCTTCTGGGGCACTGGGGGTGCCTGAGCTCCACCTCCTCTTCTCCCCCTGCTTCGGATTTCTGTTTGCAAAGGATAATCCATCACCATGTTACAGCAGAGGGAGTATTGTGTGGGTCTGAGTAGGGCAGGTTTGTTTCTAGGCATTATAGAAATCTAAGTAAATAAATGTTTTTCAAAAAAAGAGGAGGAGAGGGGTTGCGGTGGAAAGGCTCCTTCCAGGGCTGGAGCCTGCCGAGTGCTGCAAGGGCAGTTGTGCCTGCAGGAGGGAGGATCGCTGCTGCCCGAAGCAGGTCCCAGCATTCATGGGGTTGTAGACAAAACCCAATATGTGAAACTCAATTCAGAAATGCAGCGAGGATAGCCCGGAGACTACAACAGATGCGTGCCTGTTATAAAGTGGCCTTTAATAATGCCTTAGAGAGCTCAGTGGAGGATGTGCTGGGGTTGTCCTGTCCCAGACGGACAAGAGCGTAGATTGTTTGTGGCTAGGGCACTGCTGAAGGGCGCGCATTACCTTCCTACTGCATTGGCCGTATCAACAGCCTGGGTGGATTGAGAGCCATCAAGATCTTCAGACTGCAGGTGTGAGCAGTGAACAAGAGGTGCATTGAAAGTCTGCTGCTTTTCCTGTTTTCTTCCCCTGACCCTCAGCGCAGACCATTGAGTAAGTAGTCTGCATATAAGGATGGCCATACTGAGCCAGCCTGGTGATCCCATAGCGCCATTTCCCCAGAATATTCTCCTAGCTGTCAAGAAACTTATCTGGGCACTTCTAGGTGCTTTTTGTTTAAATTCCTCAGACAATCTTCTTCCATGAATTTCCATTTTGAAGTTTCTTGTTGAAGCAAATGATGCGTTTAGCGTTTCCCGTGGTGGGGACCCAGAGTTCAATTATGCATTGGGGAAAAGTATCACCTTTTGTTCACTTTAGCTTTGTCACCTGCTTTCATTTGATATTCTCCAGTTCCTCTGGTGGAGGAGACAGTGAGCATTCGCCCCTTTTCCACCTTCTCCACGCACTCACACCTGAGCAGACTTCTTTTGTTGCCCCCTCCTCTGTCTCCAAATCTGTATTTGCAGTCCGATCCCTCCTGTATCTTGACCCAGAATAAGAGACTGAGGCCCATGGCAAAGCATGGCTGAGAGGGCAGCGAGCGGGTAAGGTACCTCCTTCATCACTAGTGCCAGAGATGTGGTCACGTTTGCGTGTCTGTCCTGGTTCCTGAGCAGGAGGCGAGGGGTAGTACTTGTCCTCATGTGAAGACCTGGCAGACAGAAAGATGGTGTCTGGCCATGTAGAGGAAAAACAATTAAGACTTCAATGTTTATTAAGAAAAAAGCAACCAGCAGTGCATTTCAAGCACTCATCACACAGCATAATTTTGCTGCTGGAAGGAGTGGGATTAAAAAACTTTCTAATGTTGATTTCTTTGAATTTGTAGAATATAAATGGGTTTTTAAAAAAATCAATTAAAAATAAAGGAAGTGTGTGTACAAACATTGTCAAGCATTCCTATCTTTCATTTTTTTTAAAAAGAAGCTCTAGAAAAAAATCCCCACAGAAGTTCTGTAGTGCATATTTGAATGCTTTTGTTGTAGCCTCATTAAACTTGGCTTGTCTGCAGATACAGCTGGCATGTTATTAACTCTGCTCCAGGCTTGGGGAAGCCAGAAAGCAGCCTCCACCCCCCGGTGCCGGCTGGCTTTAGGGAAACATGCCAGCATGGGTTGGTCCTCTTCAGCTGGCTGGCTTTGGAAACGCTCGCTGGAGCATCTCCGCATGGCCTCTGGGTCCGGGAGCCCAGGGCTCAGCCCGCCTCAAGTGCTGACTCAAGGGAGGGCTGCGTGGTGTCCTCCGTGTCGGCCGGCAGCCCGCACCCATGCAGCACAGGAGTCCCTTGTGAGCAGGATGGATCTACCAAGGTATGTGGCCTCCCGTGGACAACCGCAACCGGGTGCCTGTGTTCTTTGTAGGGCTGTCACACCTTTCCTTACCGGGGCTGGCAAGAAGCAAATTAGCGATCGTCTGCCAAGTAGTTTCTCTGTTCTGAACAAACTCGTTATTGGACAGAACCGGTCAAATAAACTGAACAAGGGAAATATTTTCCCTGCACCTGCTGGAGAGGCTGTTGCTCTCCAAGCTGAGTTTGCACATCAGAAGACCTCCACCAGAGGTCTAAGCAGCTTCTGACTTTCTTCAGAGTTTTGGCAACAAGTACGTACTTTTTGAATGCTGTTTCATTTAAGTAATTTTAATAGGTGTTTTTCATAGTAAGGTGAATTTTAAAAATAGATTTCATAATTTCATATTAAATTCAAAATTGTTGAAAATATATTCAGTAGAAATTTAAGTTAAGTAATGTGTATTAAATAGAGGTAATGTTATTCAAACTTCTTGCTTATTACAACCAGCTTTCATTGTCTTAACTAACGAAAAAATTGATTTGGGGTTTTCAAGGCACTTGGTCTGTTCATGTTAAATACTTCCTAGAGCATTTGAGCACTTTGTAATCTTTAAACATTTAGACTAGTGACTCCTTTCTGACACATGGAATTACTATTCTTGTTTTTATCATCATGGAATTACGAAGTAGTCACTCTAATTTGGCTTAAGTTTTGACTGTTACTGGAAGGGGTATTCCTTTCTTCCATCTCCTACCTTATGCTGGTACAAGGTTTGTGTTGTCTTTGGGAGCCGACATTGCTGACAATTAAAAGGATTCATTTTTAGTCTGCACAGCTCCCGGATCGGTGTGGAGCTGCACAAGCCTTCTGTCAACATGAGAGGGACAAAAGGTCAGAATTTGGGAGAGAATTTGAGATGTTCCCCCTTAATAGTCTGAGTTATTTTGGATGAAAATGGCTCTAACTGTGGCTTCACCGGTTTGCCTAATGGCATGCAGGAAATAGGTGGAAGAGCCAAGGTCTTTAACCCAGGTGGGTTTTGTTGCTGGTGACACCTGTGACCATGGGGGTGAGCTTCCTCTTGAAGGCACCATATTTTTGGCATCTCTTCGGTCCATCTCTTCGTTAGGCTTCCTTGAAAATCTTTCTCAGCGTAAACCAGCACATGGTGAAAGACTTTTTGGCTCATCCTTATGTTGCTACTCAATTACTGTTAGCCTTGCTGAGGAGGACATAAGGAAAGACTGAAGAAGCCCATTGCTTTTCTCTTCTCCAGGGAATCCGTTACATTAAATGTCTGAATAGATTTTTTAACATAATTCCCAGTCATTTCCTCTACAGTGAACTCAGTTCACTCGTGCAGACTTTGTACTTAATGATATCTCTTAAAATAAATGAGATTTGATATAATTTATATTAAATGGTCATTTTAGAAATCTACATCTACTAATTATTCATTAGAAAATTTTGAAAGACAGAAGTAGAATAAACTCCCTTTATGACCTCACAGTCTACAGAAATATAAATGTATACACCTGTGTTCATTTTCACTGGGCAAAACTGAATGCAGGTAATTTACTGGACTCCAAGAGTAGTCTAAGCAGATTTGAATTACATTGTTCAATCTGCATCCATAAGCCATAGCAACCAACCAAGCCAAAAGCAGCTGAAAATTCAACATGCCTCTAGGACAGTTTTTTAACATTTATGATAATACTCAGCTTGTGGTCTGTCTCTGTAGCATACGGGATTTTGCTTTTGTGAGTTCTTCTGGTTGTCTCCTCGGGGTGACGGCTCTCTTCCCTTCCCTCTCGCCGCTGCCTGTGCCCGTGTCCCTGTGGGCTCCCTCCTCGAAGGCTCTTTCCTTGCTTGCTCCTTTCTGGACTGCCAACGTTTCGCATCTTGCTCACGGCAGTCTTCTCCCTGACACTGCGCTGGCA